TTTGTTCAAACAAGTAAGCCATCTGTACAAGTTTGTTCAAACAAGTAAGCCATCTGTGCAAGTTTGTTCAAACAAGTAAGCCATCTGTGCAAGTTTGTTCAAACAAGTAAGCCATCTGTACAAGTTTGTTCAAACAAGTAAGCCATCTGTGCAAGTTTGTTCAAACAAGTAAGCCATCTGTACAAGTTTGTTCAAACAAGTAAGCCATCTGTGCAAGTTTGTTCAAACAAGTAAGCCATCTGTGCAAGTTTGTTCAAACAAGTAAGCCATCTGTACAAGTTTGTTCAAACAAGTAAGCCATCTGTGCAAGTTTGTTCAAACAAGTAAGCCATCTGTACAAGTTTGTTCAAACAAGTAAGCCATCTGTGCAAGTTTGTTTAAACAAGTAAGCCATTTACGCAAATTTGTCCGACAAGGGATTAACTTTGATGAGCTGTTTTGATTAAAATGAAATTGACTAACCTCAACTAAAAATGGTCTTCGAGGAGCTGGTTGGTACATGACCTTATTCTTTTTCTGTGCTAATTGTGAGACCGAAGTCTGAGCATGCATTGGAGAAATTAGTAACACTGCGTTGCATATCCGCTTCTGATTTAGCTTTCAGGGCCCAATTTTTGTCAGCCTCATGTTTTCCGTCATGCTGATCGATGTCTCCGGAGAGGGAGACGTTGGAATTGGTCTCAAATACCGAACTGATGGTAAGAAAGTCAACCACAAGAGGCTACATTCCAAATCCAAGGTTCTGACAGACATCATCAGGGACTTCCTGTAATAATACAATAACAGGTCATAGCAACATAATTTTATGACATCCCCCTACCCCCAATAATTTAAGGCTTTTTTTTTTAAAACCGACTCTGGCTAAAGACCTGAATTAAAAATAAAACTTTTTAATAAATATTGAGAAAACGCACGCTATTTTTTGCGCACCAAAGTTCCGCCCTCTTCAAAACCCTCCTAAACGGAAGTGGTCTAACTTTGATGTGAAGTCATCGATACTTGCTAAGCTGCCCCGGTTGATGCTTCTGACATAGAACTTATAACAGCGTTGATCACCTCAAGTAAGGTTTGCTGCTTCTCCCGTCATCGGCTTCCCGATATCCAGCAAGTTTACTCAGCTCAAAGCCACCGTTTACTTTATCGTAGCACCTGATACTGATAGCTCTTTTTAAATTTATTAAAACCATGAACACCGTAGCCTCAGCCCGTGGGGACGACCGCGCGGACGCGTTGCCCCGGGGCGTTGGTCTACTTAACAACTGCCAGGAGAGCACGGACAGTCCGATGAACAACCCGTTCTCCCAGCTCATCATCTCACAAGCGTACGACATCAAACACGGCTCCTGCGTCGACCCGGTCATGACCACACAGAGCACCGTGGACGTCAAGAACAGCAGCAGCGGCTCGCCGGCCAACCTCACCAAAAGTCAAGTGAACCTCAAAGAGTTCATCAAGACCAACAACATGTTCCAGAAGATCGAGGACGACTGCGACACCCGAGCCATCAGGTCGGCGAAGGCTCAGTTCTTCAACAAGATGAAGAAGCAGGAGGAAGGGGGCAAGCCATCTCGCCCCAGCAGTCGAAAGGGCATCCACGAAGAGTTCCTCAAGTACGGAAAGGGCATTGATAAGAACGCCATTAATTCAGGCGAGTATCCGTCCGAAGGCGTCTGCCCTGAAGTGACCGTGGATTTTATACGATGCTACGGAACTCCCGTTTAAGGACTTAAAAACAAACCAACAGCACTTCCAATCCAGCTTTTCGGTGGGAAGTAAATATGTGATATTTATTTGAAATGGATGTGCTTCAATGACATACCTTACTACATATATATTTTTTTTATGTAGTTAGTATCCGGTTTTCAAATCTATAAAAATTATTTGATCATTTATTTGCTTCATAATGAAAAATTAGATATAAAATTAATATTTGTATTCAGATCGATGATTTGTATTACGATCGTCTGCTTGGAGAACAATTTAATTTACAACCCGAGATTCCCACCATTTTTCCAAATCAACCAAAGAAAAAAAAACATGAATATTTAACGCATTCAATTTTTTTTTAAATATTTTTTTTTAGGGGTTCGTTACATTCCTAAAATCATCGTGACTATTTTGATTGCGATGATGTCGTAAAATGGGCTCCTCCGAATGGCACTCTTGAGCTCGTAGTCTTGTAAAAATAAATACACTATAAAATGTATACATTATTTGAGGTCAGTCTGATCCAGTTTTATATGGTGAACAAAAATTATAATGAAATTTATTCTGACAAATTCTTATACTTATATCGCAATAAAATGTTGATTTGCAAATACAGATTTTGGATTTGTTTTGATGACTTGTTGACTTATGCCAATGTTTGATATGTTAAATAATAATTAGTTCAAGGTATGCCAACATCTTGACAGTACAGCCTGAGGAGTCGGAGTAAGGAGTCAGAGTTTCGGGCCAGTTAATCCCACCCTGTTTCAGCTAATCCCATACTAATTCCCCTTTCTCAGTTTGCAGTGATGTACTCTTCCATTACTGCTAAATATTCCAGCTTAGAAAGGAAATTATTTGTGGCGATGTAAAATAAAAAAAAACCAGAAAATTGAAAATTTCACTTCCGAATTAAACGCGGCATCTCAGTTTCTTTTATGCTTATCCGCAACGTTGACCTTCGATGGCTTGGCCCTGATTACATCATACAAGTTTGAGCGCCACCTCTGGCTTGACGCGATTTTGGGAGCACTGTCAATAATAAGTTATTGTCACATTTGCCTTTTAAGATTAAGATTACCCAGCATTGAATGGCTCCGGATTGTTAAAAGTTTTGGTTTAAACGAAGAAAGGGGTTGGGAAAGGGGGGGGGGGGAGTGAATTGAAACATATTCACTTTTACTTTGAGCCACATTATTGCGAAGACACAATTTCTTCATGAATGTGGCAATGAACACTGTAAATAATAAGTTATTGACAAATTTGCTTATTAAGATTAAGATTACCCAGCATTGAATGGGTCCGGTGTGTTAAAAGGTTTGGTTTAAATGAAGAAAGGGGTTGGGAAAAGGGGGGGGGGGAGTGAATTGAAACATATTCACTTTTACTTTGAGCCACATTATTGCGAAGACACAATTTCTTCATGAATGTGGCAATGACATTGATGCAATGTTATCACAACTCAATTCTATTTTGTGATAATCAAAACCCCTTTTTATCCTTGCATAGTTTGCGTTTGCTAACTGATAGAATAGAAAGAGAGTTTTCAGCAAAACTGAAATCCTGTCAACTAAAAGTAAAATGGCCGCCTGCATTGTGACGGAAGTGTCTTGTAAAACAAACACCCCGGTAAACGAAATAAATAAGTGAAAAACGAAAGCTTCAACCGGTCTCACACTTTTTTTTTTGGGGGGGGGGCGTTGACTAATATATTGAAACCTTTCGGGGTTCATCCACTCTATCAACCCCCACTCCCCCGCCCCTTTCTTGGAACTGTGTTTGCGAGTGACATCCTATTAAAAGTATTGTCACAAAAAAAACAAAACAACAACAACAAAAAACCGAAGAGACATCAAGATGTGAGAGACAACAAAGTCATAAATTCGAATAATCTGCATCGAGGTCACCACGAACTTTGAAGTTCGACGTTGTACCACACCAAAAAAAAAAAGGCATGCTTTATGAAGAGAGCAACAAGCTGCAGTCTGGACCTCTGACTGACAACTATTTTATGATGCTACAAAAAAAAAAAAAAACAACAAAAAACCGCAGAGACATCAAGATGTGAGAGACAACAAAGTCATAAATTCGAATAATCTGCATCGAGGTCACCACGAACTTTGAAGCTCGACGTTGTACCACACCAAAAAAAAAAAAGGCATGCTTTATGAAGAGAGCAAAAAGCTGCAGTCTGGACCTCTGACTTGCAACTATTTTATGAGGCTACAAACTTGACTCTTTGGTATCTTTCTGAAATGTCATCAATATCTCTGTTGTAACATTTGGTAAGGTTTACGTTTATCAACAAGTTGGAAGTGTCCATAATATTGGAAAAAGAAAATGAGAACTATGTTCCAATAAACACCCAAGACTGATCAAAATTACAACTCACCCACTCAAGAACCCAACAGTTATTCTTACCACACAATTATTCAACGCAAATCTTGCTATAGACTAACTTTAAGGAACAGCGAAAAACTCAAACAAGGATTCCCAAGAATGAAAAAAAATACGTACGCTGAATGATTTTTTTCCTAAATTTATTTGGATCAATAAAATTAGCTTATCTGATCATAGTCGTTTGTGGGAAGGGAACAATAAAGGTCGTTAACAATGTTAACTGCCTTTTTTAAAATATATATCAACACATAGTAGGTCAAACCTCCACTCTACCACCCCTGGCTCCTTCTCCAACCTGGGGTGATGGTATCTTGAGCAAAGTCGTGATCCCCGAGATAGCCAAGGATATCAAAGAAGTTGATGACGCTGTCAAGAAACAGGAATGATAAATTATTATTATTTTTTCTTTTCCTCTTCTCTAATTTAATACAAAGAGATTGGACGTTCCCATTCGCCAGATTTTTGGTGTAAGAAATTGTGAATCTGTTTAGTTGGAGGAAAGATCTTTGAATTCTGTATTTCATACATGGTTGTGTTTTATTAGGGCAATATTTATTTTCGCTGAACTTAATGAGTGGTCCCAGGACATTAATTAAATTACCGGCCCTGGGATATTAAATAGACATCGTGACCAAGCTTTTGTCCCAACATGACGTGGCCGTGGTCACTTTGTACCATGACGTCCATTGGCTCGAAATACAATAGCATGCGATTGATGGTTAAGATTTTCTTCGTACTGGTGATGTTGGTAGCAGCCATTCAGGTGTTCCAATCCCAGGTCGCACGATGGCCGACGAGGGAGCACGCTCCACTGATGAATATGTACGATAATATTGTTAACATGACGGAGTCGGTCGAGCCCCTTAGAGGCGTGGCTCAGGTGGATGGAAGGGTAAGGCACATGCCTGCAGATGGCGAGGAACGGTTTGTAACTAAAGCAGACCCGAGTCTCAGGTTTGTGAATTCTTTTATACCTTTTACCTACGGGTAGGGGCAGTGCGGTATTTACCAATAATCTAAATAAGCTAAGGTTTAGGGCCTCATAATCTGCCAGGGCCTCCAAAAAAAAAAAAAAAATCCTTTAAAGTATCTTTTCCCTGTAATTTTTCTTTCTTATTTAGCTATATTTCTTTAACCTATTATTTATTTATTTTTTTTTACATTGTGTTGGATTAAAATTTAAATGTTCGCAAGTTAAACTTGTATAATTTCATGGACTAAAAGCCGGCTCGCTGCTTGCAATTTTGAGCTATATGGGCCGTTTGTCAACCTCTAAATCTAATGAGGATGCTATATCGAAGGGGGTGGGGGGTCTCGATACCAACTTATTAAATGCCCTTTCCAGACTTGCCACGCCTATGTTTGTCTGCTCTTTTCTACGTTTTTATGTTTTTGTTTTTGACTCCAGACTTTTTTTCTTATCAATTATTTCTTTTAACTTAAAGTGTGTATTACAATATATTTTGTGCAATGTTTAATGGTTTTGAAAAAAAGTTCAAACTACATTTCGATGATATTGAAGAAGAAGTCAAGTCTAGATTTGCTGGAGTAGATGGTAGAATATAATTCCACAGTGAAAAGAAAGAGGGTGGGAAGGAACAAAAGCAAAGCCAGTGATGGAGCTGCGCCTGATTCAGATGAGCAGCTTTCTCCAAGTGACCGATTCATAGAGAATTCCTTCATTCTTGTCATAGACATACTTGAGGCAAATATAACGAGAAGAGCAACAGTCTACATTTATGTTGCAAATACATTTTCATTTCTAGTTGATATTAAGAATTAATAGTTCCATCCTAGATCTGTTTTCCAATAATTAAAATATAAGCTTCATTTGCCACGGGCAGCTTTGCCATCCTGTATCCTTGGATTTATTTGAGTAGACAAGAACTTCGACTGTTTAGCTCGTATGATCATAACAAGGGACTGGAACGTAAGGGTCGGGGTGGGAGGGTTGACATGTAGGCATGGACACGCTACAGTGTTTACTACGTGAGACTGTGTGTACAGGACTATATACAGGTGTGGCATGGGAATATGTGTAAAGGTAACAGAGAATTTGTGTAGGACTGACCGGTACTTTGTTTAGGACTGACATGCAATTTGTGTAGGAGTGACAGGGAATTTGTGTAGGACTGATCAGGAATTTGTGTAGGACTGACATGCAATTTATGTAGGAGTGACAGGGACTTTTTATAGGAGTGAAAGGGACTTTGTGTAGGAGTGACAGGGACTTTGTGTAGGAGTGACAGGGACTTTTTATAGGAGTGACAGGGAATTTGTGAAGAGTGACAGGGACTTTTTATAGGAGTGACAAGGAATTTGTGTAGGAGTGACAAGGACCTTTTGTAGGAGTGACAGGGACTTTGTGTAGGAGTGACAGGGACCTTGTGTAGGAGTGACAGGGACTTTTGTGTAGGAGTGACAGGGACTTTTTATAGGAGTGACACGGACTGGGTGCAAGAGAGACATCCTATAAATAGCTGATAATAAAAGTCGTGTCCAAACAAACTGAAGAGACATCAAGAGAGACAGCAAAGTCATCAATCTAAATAATGAATTATAATGGGCCTGGAGAAAGTCACAAACTTTGACGTTCAATGTCGTACCGAAATAATTGTATTAAAAAAATGACACATCTCTTTATTCACGACCCTTCCACCAGCAAATGTTACAAAGACACACAACCCCGGCCGGTAACGATCAGATAACACCAATATAGAAAATGTCGTTAAAAAAAAAAGAATCAAATTTTATGAAGAGAGAAATAAAATCTGTCGCTTGAAGCTTACTTGGCAACCATTTTTATGAGGCTACAAACTTTACTTGTTGGTATATTTTATGAAATTAATCAATTTCTCTGTTGTAAAATTTGGTAAGGTTCACGACGGTCTACAACAGCGGTTCTCAATCTGTGGGTCGCCACCCATTTGGAGGGTCGCACGACCCTTACCCAGGAGTCGCTTGACCGAGACCATCAGAAAATACATATACCCTACAGTTATGACATAGTCGCCATAACAATGTGAACTGTATAAAAGGGTCGCGGCATTCGGAAGGTTGAGAACCACTGATCTACAAGATGGGAGTGTCCATGATATTTAAAAAAGAAAAAGAAAATGAGAACTCCGTTCCATACAAAGCCAAGAGTCTGTTCAAAATGACAATTCACTGCCAAGAGCTCATCAACTACGCCATTCCGCTCAGCTGTTTGTAAAGGTCTTGCTAAAGACTTAATTTAAATGAACAGCAAAAAAAAACCAAAAAAAAAATTATGTACGTTGAATGAAAAGAAACAAACAAATTTTCATTTATTAGGATCAATCAAAGTATCTTATCTTATCTTATCTTATCTTATTTCATCAGAGATAATAAGTAGAGACGTTGTTCCACTTGAATTTCATGATTATTCATGGATGGTATTGGACTTAAAAATATTTGTTTACGTTGTTTTAGAAAATTGTAGGAATTTTACAATAAGTGCATACGTGGATAAGGTTTTACGATGGTTCTCTCACGACTATCGTTGCAAAAAGTGAAAGATAAGTTGTGCTCAAGCCAATTTTGGAGAGAGACAGGCGTTTTAGATTTGTACAAATGGCCGATTTGTCAATGTAGTTAAGCTCATATCTATTTCTGAATCAGTTTTTGAAACAAAATATTTGTTAATGACCAATGTCTCGTATTACTTTGGCCTTAAATGATTAGATTACATTACGGGGGATACGCTCTAGAGATGCACACTAGACTTAATGATCGTATCACTTAAAACAATATGGCGATATCTATGGGGAATGAACATGTAAATTGAGCCACTGCATTAGCTGTGCCCACAAAGCCTCACACTGACCCAGACGGGGGGGAGGGCAGGGGGGACAGATGTCCCCTCGCTACTTTTCCAACCTGAGGTGATGGTATCTTGAGCAAATTCATGATCACCAAGATGACCAAGGGAAATTACTATCGGTAATTGATATTGAACAAATTAATAACGCGATCAAGAAACAGGAATGCTACATTAATTTGTTCCCCCTTCTTGTATCTAATTTAATACAAAGAGTATGGACGTTCACATTTGCCAGATTTTTGTTGTAAGAAATTGTGAATTGGTTCAGTTGGATGAAATGAAAGACATTTGAATTCTTCATTTCATACGACGTAGGCCTACTTGAAACCGCACATCCATCCATCCAACCATCCATCCAGCATCCATCCTTCCAATCATCCAGCCATCCATCCATCCAATGTTTGCAAAGCTAAATGTGAATGTAGAAAAAGGTTTATTTATATGTAACAATATTTAAAAAAAAAAAATTGTTTGATAGCTTACACACAGAGCCGTCAGAAGGTGATCTCGTCTTCCTGCCGGTTGCCAACCACGATGCATGGATCTATTCCGCTCACTTCGATACACAGCCAGAAAATATTAGCAAGGCCCTCGTCCGGGTGTTCGGTGTAGCCAGATACACCAGTGACCCAGTCTTCTGCCACTTTCTAAACGACGAACGTAAGGTCATCTCGGGTCCCGGACAGAGGAGGTTCATCAGAGACGCGCATAGTAAAAAGTAAGTTATTTCTTAGATTGGGAAAAAAAGTAAGTTATTTCTTAGATTGGGGAAAAAAAGTAAGTTATTTCTCGCATGGTACAAAAGTAAGTTATTCATTGCAAGATAAAAAAGTAAATTAATTATTACTTGCTTTATAAAAAGTAAATTATCAGTGAGAACTCCTTCAACAAGTGCATTTTGGGTAGTCCCGTAGTTGTTCCTCTTTTGCACACTATGAATAGTATTACAATGTTTGCCTATGCTTTTTCGCTTTGTCCCAAGATTTCCACAGAGCCTTGCATATCACTTTTCTGGTTCCGAAGAAATTCAGACCCCCCCCCCTCCTTTAATGACTTTTTCTTTTTTGTGAAGAGTTTTATATTTATGATAAATTTGCATGAATGTTTCATAAAATCTTGACAGCATTCAACGTATGTGTCATAATATCAAACAAAATTATTAAAAAAAACAAACAGCAAACAAACTAATATTGCATCTAACATACTGCCCCATCTCTGCCTCCCTCAGATATGTAGCAGCTTTCTTCGATTGTCCAATTGGCCCACTGGTCAGCCCAAAGTTCGTGACCGTGACCTACAACAAGACTGACGAGCCTGCCCATTGGGTGGCGATCCACCACCCGAGGCCGCTGGCCCGGAACTTCACCGTGTGCTACGCCGCTTTGTTCGACTACAACAGAACATCGCAGCTCATCCAGTCGATCGAGATCAACCGGGTTCTGGGAGCTCAGCATTTCTACGTGTACAACTACAGCGTCTCACCCGCTACGGACGCCGTGCTGCGTCACTACCAGAAGCTCGGTCTTCTCACCGTCATGCAGTGGCGACTCCCCACTTTGGAGGTTTGGTACTATGCGCAGAATTTGGCCATCAACGACTGCGTCTACAGGAACAGAATCGCGTCTCAGTTCGTCGTCATACAGGACACGGACGAGTTCATTATACCCAAGCAGCACGACTCGTGGGCGGAGCTCTTGCACGCCGTCCAGTCAGAGTTCTACCACCGGCCGAACATAACCGCAAACACCCCCCTGGCCTCGTTTGTCGTTGAAACTACTTATTTTCACGGCATGCCGTCCGCAGAAATCTGGAAGGGCCTGATGGTAAACTTCTCAATCAACGCAGAGGATGAAAAGTTTCTGAAGGACAACGACGTGATTCCTTTCCTCTTCGTGCAACGTAAGGACTACGTCTACAAGTACAATTCCCGTGTTAAGACCATCGTACGCCCTGAGCATGTTTATAATTCCGGGATCCACTTCACGCATTCCCACCGAGGCTCGGCCACGCACACGGTGGTCGGTAACGACCTTGCTCTGGTCCACCATTACAAACAGAACGGTGTCCACATCGTGCTGGATGCCGCCGTGCTCAGGTTCACGGCGTCTGTCGTCCCCGCCTTGATGGCGAAATTCAAGGAATTGTCCCATCTGTTGCTGTAATCGGCAAATCTTATTAGTAGTGCATGGAGCAGCTACCAGCGACCTCAAGCTCTGAGAGTGACACCGAAGAAGAGAATAGCCAGGTGATGTTCGATCTTTGATGTTCCATAATCACATGGGCAGTGCAGTGCACCGAAAGGGGAGTTGAGGTTGGGGGGGGGGCGACGACTTTAGAATCAAGAAAACTTGAAGTTGAAATTTAAACCCAGCTCTCCAAGATCCTTAACAGGTTTATTTTTTTGTGGGGCTTGAGGTGGACAATTCGAGCGTAGAGAAGCTACAGTTTCTTGCACCCGATGCGGTCTTTGGCTTTTCCCGCACCTAATTCACGAAAACTATAAAACATGTCAATGCATATAAAAAAAAATACGACTTATAAAGTATGTGGCGTGTACAGAAAAGGCCGCCCCGAAAAAAAGTTATTCCCAGGGGGGAAACACATTCTCTCCCCCCCTCCCCCTTGAGAAATAAACATCCAATTAAGTTGATAATATGATAAATTTAATAACTGGCAGGAGGCGCTGTCTCCTTCACTGATAATGGGCCTTGTTTCATTGTCAAATGCCACTGATACTTTGGCTGATAAATGGCACTGTTTCAATGGCTGATAAATGACGCTGTTTCAATGGCTGATAAATGACACTGTTTCATTGGAATTAATGCATCCACTGTTTCATTGGCTGATAAATGGCACTGTTTCAATGGCTGATAAATGACGCTGTTTCAATGGCTGATAAATGACACTTCTTCTTCTTCTTCTATATCTTAAGGGCCCACGATCAATTTATTGATCATTTTGGCTCCTATGCATTTTGGCTGATAAATGGCTGATAAATTTTAACCCCCCCCCCTTTGTCAACAACTGTCAAACTTTCAATGACCCCCCAGTAATAGAATCATGAAAAGATTGTTATCATTGTTTGTGGAAAGATAAAACGATTATTGTCAGTATAGCTGACAACTGTAGCATAGTTTCTAGCTGCTATCATTTTCCCAGGGAGTGGCCAGGTGTTGCTCTATTGTAACAATGGGCATAGTAGCTGATATATCATTTTCATCTTGCAGAACTGATATACCAGGCAAGTCAACTTCATCCTAACCTAACCATTCAGCACTTCAAATAGAAGCATTGTCAGTGTCAGCAATAATTGCCATAAGCTCCCCCTGTCTCCTGGCAGCTACTTGCAGTAGTCGAATCCTTTTTTTTTGTTGAGGAGCAGGTGGTGATATCTTATGCATCGTCGCTGCTGTTGAACTTGCTATTTCAACATGACTTGTGATGCGAAACAGATGCTACAGATTTTGCAAATCCGCTCAAGCAGCGATGTTATTACTGTTACTCACTTTACTTTCTCTAAACATCGTATTCCTACTCTATCAATATCATTTACCTTGACTGCACATGACTCTTAAACCTTGTTCTTGTTCCATACCTGCAACATGATCGCAAACAAAGCACTCTAGTCATTAGCGACAAATAGAATCTACAGGCGAAGAGAGCCCAACTTTTGACTTCTCTTGCACTAACAAAGTGTGCTAAAATTCTGATTAGCCATCAGCAGTGCACAGACAGTTACACATTAAATAAATCTTATAATGTTAAAAGCCTAAAAACTATACAGGGTGGGCCAAAAAAGTGAGAACATCTCGTAAAATATTATGCTACGAAATGTTCTCACTTTTATTGGCCCACCCTGTATATAATTATTTTAATTTACACTCATTAAATTTGTTAAAATAATGTAATATCCAGTCAATTTTTAAGATAAAATTTTAATTGAGAAAACATGATTGTTGACGTCAACTAATCTAACCCCCTTCCCCCTTGTCAACAATTATAATATTGTCAAACATTTCCAAGCCCCCTTCCCCCTTCGGTCGTTGATGGCCATAATTAATGGACGACCCCTTACTGAAGAACGAAGAGATGCGCGGAAAGGGAGGGAGGCCTGCTTCATGCACTCTTCTGTTGTCTACTTGATAAGGGGAGGTTAGATTTGATTTGATATTTATATCGCGCTGGTATCCATGTTACTTTAGCATGCTCACTGCGCTCTGGTCCTACGAGATCTATTGAAACAAAAAAGTTTTAAATTGTTTTTTTAAATGATTTTTTATCATTGACAATTCCCCTCAAAGATTGAGGCAAACTGTTCCATAATTTTGGCGCTATCGCTTCAAGAGAGCGCACTCCGTAAGACTTTTTCTGTGTGGGAGGGGCCCGCTACATACGTCCCCAATACCCGAAGTCACAGACATGGAAATATAAATATTGCTGTATTAGCGACCGGGAGATAAAACATAGAATTCGATGAAAAGGTTTGGAGGAATTTACTATACTTCATATCTCATTCACAATACTTCATTTCTCATTCATTATCACTCATATCTTATTCATTATATTTCATCTCTCATTCACTTTACCTCATATCTCATCCACTATACTTCATATCTCATTCACTATACTTCAAATCTCATAGATTATACTTCATTTCTCATTCATTATAATTCATATCTCATTCGTTATACTTTATATGTCATTCATTTTACTTCATATCTCATTCACCATAATTAATATCTCATTCACTAAAATTAATATCTCAGTAACTTTACCTCATATCTCATTCCCCACAAAACTCATTATCTTTTCACTTCTTTCTAATTTATCTTTAAAAAATAATGAATTAGTTTCAGAATATCAATAAATAATTCATAATCTTAGGTGTGACAGTAATATAACAAACAAATAAAATCTCTCGTGTGTCCCAAAATGTGAGATATTTGAAATATTTTCCAATCATTCCCAGCCTAATGATTGCTACATTCATGTTTGAAATATTTGCCCATTATTCCCAGCTTAATGATTGCTACATCCACGTTATTGGACAGTTACACTCTATGTCCATCATTCCCAGCCTAGTTTAGTATTACATGTTAATTACGGGTATTTGGCGTGCAATGCAAAAAAAAGCAAAGACTACCAACACATTTATCTACTAATTAAGTTATCAAAGAAGGTGACGTTAGCAAAAAGATAGTTACCCGGTACAGCAGACCTAGTGCGCACATATTTTTGACTAACTTTTGAAAGTCATATTAACATGCTATGCAAGGCGATTTTTCTAGAGCTGCGCAGGATTAGTCACATCAGGCCCTTCCTAACAATTGATGCAACAAAGAGGCTGATGTCTGCATTTGTGCTATCACGCATGGACTATTGCAATGCTCTTATGGTGGGTCTTCCAGCTACGCTCCTGGATAAAATTCAAATAGCACAGAATAATGCGGCTCGCATTGTTCTCCGCAAACGCAAGTTTGACCATGCAAAAAC